AGAGAGAGAGAGAGAGAGACAGAGACAGCGAGAGAGAGAGAGAGAGAGAGAGAGAGAGAAAAAAAAATTATGTGTCCGTGTAATTCATGTGGGTCGTGCAAACATTTTCGAACGTAGAGTCGCAAAATTATTTTGTAGAGTACATCGGATCTGTGTGATACAGAAACAGGGACGTTTGAGACGTATTTGACTATACGCCCGTGTGTGTGTGCGTGTGTGCGTGCGTGCGTGCGTGCGTGCGTGCGTGCGTGTGTGTCTGTTGTCTAATAGACGAATACTGGGTATGTAGCACCATTCGATACACAAGCTGTCTTTCAACTCAAGCAAACACTGTGCGTCGCATTTGTGCGCTCACGCTTTTCACGCTGTTTGATCGATGTTATTCGCCGATCCGTTTTTGTATATGCGTTCTAAATAATAACTATAAATAAAGCAAAAATGTATGTTTTATAGTTTTTATTACACTGACATAATATAAATATACTAAACACTATGTTCAAACGAGAACAACGACAAGTGCCAGAATTAAGACGTGTTACGGTCGAGCGAACTGCGACATGTCAGTAAACTATCGCTCTTCGCCGATATCGTATCAAAGTAATCGTAAATCTAACCACGTTGGATTGCTGCATAAATTACTACGTGACAGACAACTAGCGTCGCGCCGGACTTTTCAGAAATAATCTGGTCCTGGTCCATCTCTGTACGGGCGACCTCCATAGGGACCACCTCCATAGGGACCACCTCCGTAGCGACCACCTCCGTAGCGACCACCTCCGTAGCGACCACCTCCGTAGCGACCACCTCCGTAGCGACTACCTCCGTAGGGATGACCGCCTGATCCCGGGAAAAAGCCGTGGAATCTACGAGGATTCCCCTGATGCACGTAGGCGTAAGGATGACGCGAGACAAACGAGTAGCTCTCTGCGCTGCCTCTCACATCACCGATCATGACCTGGCAGAAATACACCGTTAGACACCGAATACAGAAAACCGACTACGTTATATCGTACTGCTGTTAAATGTCTAGATGCTACCTAATTGATTAATAAGCCACTTTAGTAGTCCGTTCGTAAGGAGCGATAAAGGAAAACATAATTATAATATAATTATGATCATTCATTATCCTTTACAAATGTCATATCGTTTCAAATCGTAGATTGAGTAACCACCAAAAAACTATAGATATATGCACAATCTTACTAACTCGTGCGAATGAGGCCACTTAAAATATCTTGTCACATTTTATTATATTTTAAAACATTCTAAAAATCAGTTCACTGTTCATACTAAGTCTTATGTTCTAAGCGTACTTACAAATGCCAGGAGGCATAGAATAGAGATGGCAACGAAGAGACGCATTTTGTAGCCGGTTTAGCTTCGTCTAGAATAAAGCCAGGTTTACACCACTTTATTGCCGAATACGTATACCGATTCTACTCTGAACGTTATACTATTGCAAACATTAATATCGATAAAAACAATTGCTCGTTACTTATACTCTTACACTGCTACAGTCAAGTACTCATAGCGGAAATAAAACTGATACTGAGGAAAGGCAACGATACTTCCATGCTCTTTCACAGCTTTTATAATATATATATATATATAAATTCATTAAAGGTTACGGCAAGTAAATGGATATAACAATGTGACTATATTATTTACTCTTTATATATAATTATTATTACTGTTATTGCCTATTATTATTACTATTTACAAATACACTATAGTTAATATAACTATATATATATATATATATATATATATATTATACTCGGATACTAGTATACGATAAGTATTTGAACTCACCGGTGACTCCGCAGGATGTTCGTATGTAGACGTACGTGTATCTGATGTCGGATGCTCAGTACTGCGACAGCAGAGCTTTTATAGGAGGTGCTCATCGCTCAGAGACAATACATCATGGTATACCGGAGACATTCATTGGCAACCGCTGGCCTTTCCTCAAGCGAAAACCTCACAGTTGACATTGCAGCTTTGTCTTTTTCAGGGTAATATCGCACGAATTGTTGTCATCGTGCAACTTTACCGGTTACTGTCGTTTGCATTTTTGTTGCATACGTTAAGGGCAGTGTCACTCTGTGCTTTTGTTACAAGCCATTGTCTAACTTAGCCACTTGTTGTTCGCATTGTGTAGCAGCCGCCTCGTCTGTTGCCCTTCAATTTCGGTCACTTAAACCAGCTATTTATAACTGACGAAGAGGAGCCAGGTAGACAGATCGGTCATTATAAAACACGAGAAAGTGAAAGGACCTTACACCCATCACGGGGCTATTGTGGCAGAAAGGATCAAACGTGTGGACCCCGCAGACCAAGTGAGCTCACCATTATACTAAATCGTTACAATTTAAGCACTGCGATGTATTCTATTTTGGCGGCACGGACGTCGCGTGTATCGAGGTTAAAGACAACACAAAATTGCTATTTGACATTTTACGAGCCCAATTCTTATTCAACTATTTCCCTGACCGCAAGGTATCGTCTCCGTTGTTGTTTTTCAGCGTAACGCGTCAAGGACACGGACTTTCTATTTAAATCTTTTAATATTCAACAACTTGCCCTTTTACGTCTTTGTTGGTTTCTGTACGTGTTGTACATTTATCTTTTACTACTCACTAATATTAAAATAAGACCTCTGTGCTCTTTCGTTTCTTTAGATTTCGTGATTTTCTGCTTTCGTGGTTTTCTCTTTACACACAAGTATGCCATGTAAGTGGTCATCTCGGTGCAATTGTGCGTAATTGCGTTTTCCAATTAGAAATGGTTAGCTTGTCGGGTCGTCGCATTGTGGCCCCAGGCGCCCGCGTCTTCTCGCTCACATACCGGACAATTAAAATTTTTAATAAATTTACATTGTTTTTTTTATCATCATTATTGTTTAAACACGATCTGATTATTTTTGTTTCTTCGTGCAACGAATGAAACAATTTTTAATCGAACCCCATGTTATAGTTCTTCGTTTGCCTTCCCGCATTTTCACGGGACCAAATAACGACGACTTCCAATGTATACTTGTAATGTGTAACAAGAGCAAGGTCATACGCACTGAGCACTGATCATTAGCATACGAGAGCATGGTCCGCTACCACTCTGCTACGCGTACTGAATAAACTAGAAAATCAATGAATTCCATGACCTACTTCACACATCATCGATAGCCGAGCATTTTGTTAACGTGTAGCAGTTGTCTATCTTTAGATTATCTAAATAGAAATCATTAGATAAAACTTAAAACGCACCAGACTGAGGTAAAATATATTTATATCAACATATACTATCTTTAGAACTTTAGTATTAATTAGTAGACCGCCTAGACAAATGCCGCAACGTGACACAAAACAGACGAGACAGAAAACTGCTCAAGCAAACTGTTCGAGACCACTGATCTCTACTATACTAACTATACTACAAACTATACTACGTTAGTATAGTAGAGATCAGTGTTCGAGACTCATTAAACCGTGTGTCAATGGAGTCCTTGGACTGCGTCATAAAAACGGGTCATATTCTTGCAGATAATCGATAGGAAATGCAAAGAAATATAGGGGAATATGAATGTACATTACATTACACGGGCAGGTATATTAGAAGACGTTAAGTTATACTTACTGATCACCTGATACATCTGATTACCCCGGGGGGGGGTGCAGGGGGTGCGCCCCCCCTAAAAATTTTGAGTTGCCCTTTTTTCTGGCCCACGGAAATTTTTTTTCTCCAATTTTTAAAAAAATAATATAGATTTTTAAGCAGAAAAAATACTGAAAAATAAGTTGATGTTTTCCGAGGAGTTTTTTAGGGGGGACGGGGGGTCGACCCGACTTGTTTTCTGGGCTGCGACAGATCGCCACAGGCTGCGCCACCGTTGATTGCTTTGTTATAGACTGGTACCCTCCTGGGGTAATAACCCCCCTCTAATTTTGCTTCAATAATTTCATTCTGAATAGTTTTCGATGTTATCTTTGCATTTTTTTACTTAAAACGTACTTAGTAGTACTATTACTACATCCTCTCTGGCAAGAGCCCACTCATTTGGTCTAAATTTGGTAAAAGTAAGTACTACTGGCACAGGGGCGTGCCCCGGGTGGGGGGTCCAGGGGGTCCGGACCCCCCACCTGCTCGCGCAGAAAACGCATCTGAGGGGGTCTAATTTCAAAAATTTTCTGGGGGAGGGCCCCCCAGACCCCCCCTTCGCGTGCTCCCAAGTTTGGGTTACGGTTGGACCCCTCCCTGGTACAAATCCTGTACACGCCCCTGTGGCAAGAGTAATACTGAGTATGTTTTAAGTAAGATAATATATCAGTCATTGAAATTCAAGTTGAAGTTCAAGTTTTATAGTAAATGTATGAAACGGAAAGCATATAAATTAATACATGTAATGATTTCAATTTTCTTTTGTAATAAAAGTGTGTTCAATCCATATCGCAGTTTGATTTCACCGGGTACTAGTATTTTGTCGCTCTGATGGCAGTTAATTTCAAGCAAGTTGATGGTTTTTGTGGCTTTGTGGATTTTGCCTTGCACTGGAATTGTCTGTTTCATTGCTATGACAAGACTTGAAGTACAAAAATTTCGCCTCATATGCTCTGAAAATGCATAAAAAGGAGTCTGATTTTTAAAATTTTTCTGGGGGAGGCCCCCCCGACCCCCCACCGGTTCCTTCGCACCTGCTGTCCTCGCGCACGAAGCGGCGGCGCAGCCGCCGCTTCAGTTGCCCCTAACAAAATCTCAAAGTGCCCTTTCCCACCTGCACCCCCCCCCCTAGACAAAATCCTGCATCCGCCCCTGTGTTGTGTGTTTAGATTACAAGCATACAATTGCCTATAGCTTAAAAGATAGCCCCTGGGTATTGTTTATACGATGGTTGTGAGAGTTCTTAAAAAGAAAAAGAAAAACGTCTGTGAAGATTGTGTGTCATATCAGTATCTGCAAAAGGGCAAACAATGTATCTGTCAGCATACGTCGTATCTCGCGGATTAAATGGTACGCTTTTCTCAAAAAATGTCTCTAAAATCCACCTTACGTCCTAAACGTTGGTGTAGCTGAAATTATAGCTAAGATTTTATAGCCACAGTACGGCATATTATACACACCTCAACGGAATAGACTGCAGCATATACTAATCAATGCTGATAATGAAGAAGGCTTGTGAAATCCATGTTTATAGAAATTGAGGGCAAGAACACAGATCAACAAAATTAACCCTGGGGGGGGGGTATTAATAGTGAGCGTAGACCCGGTAGTGGATAGGGCTATCATCAATAAATAGGTCAATCATCTTTTATCTTCTGTTACCCGCTAACTAGGACGTGCGTATAATGCTTTATCATGTCTGATAAGCCGCGAAATACGATATCAAAAATCGTGTGTGAAGGTGACGGGTTGCATGCTAGCTTCTTTATACCGTCAATATGTCAATGTGTTTTTGGGGCATGTGTCAATAAACCATATGAAACTATATTTATCAGTCTGCCAAATTTGGCTTGCCAATTACCTTAGATCGCTAACAACAATCATATTTGCATTATTAAAAATATAAATGATCAAGAGGAAAATATAATCAGACATGTATAGATGATTTATTTACAATGATATTTTATAGCATTGACGTGTACAACAATACTTTAATATTTTAAATATAAATATATAAAACGATATCTGCAAGGAATAGCGCCTGTCACAGTGGGGTTAAAATGTCATTTGCCAATGAGCTCATGGTCGTTACCTTAATTATCAGATTAGTTATTAGTTATGACATATGTGCATGAAATCATTATGAGAAGGAATTCATGCTGGAAAAAGATACATAATCCCTTTAATCGCGAGATTGTATTGAATGTTAGTGCGACTAGTCAGCATTCTGTTCTCCCACAGTAATTCATACACGTATTCAACGATATAGATTGTACGTATCTATACTTTCACACTTTCTTCATCTAATGATGTAATAAATTACTACGTCACGCGAAATAGCATCGCGCCGGGCTTGTTAGTAATAATCTGGTCCAGGTCAATAATAACGACCTCTGTACGGGCGACGTCCATAGGGACCACCTCCGTAGGGACCGCCTCCGTAGCGACGACCTCCGTAGGGACCACCTCCGTAGGGACCGCCTCCGTAGCGACGACCTCCGTAGGGACCACCTCCGTAGGGACCGCCTCCGTAGCGACGACCTCCGTAGGGATGGTCTCTTGAATCCGGGAAAAAGCCGTGGAATCTACGAGGATTTGCTTGATGCACGTAACCGTAGGGATGGCGCGAGACAAACGAGAAGCTTTCTGCGCCGCCTCTCACCTCACCGATGATGACCTGCCAGAAATACACCGTTAGACACCCGTAAAACTTCGTCATTGCTGTTAGGTACCTGCTACTTATGGCTTACTGTTACTAATTACCAAACTGATTTCTATAGTGTTGTTGAGAGATCGTTCGTAAAAATCAATAAAATGAAACATCATTTGTTATTATTGTTCATGCTTTATTACTGAGCAATTTCGTCTTATCGATTAAATGATCACATGAAATTTACTTACATACACAATCCTGCTGAAGATGACGTTTAATACAATAGGGTATATTTTATTATTTTGAAGCATACGAAAAATCACTTCAATGTTCATATTTATCAGATGTTATGATTTGTAATTTTACTTACGAATGCCAGAATGCATAGCACGGAGATCGCAGCAAAGAGACGCATTTTCAACATGGTGTATGTTCGCCTATAATTAATAAAGTGCAAGATACATTTATATATTGACTCTAAATTGAACGTAACGCTATTTTCTTAAATGGATAACGTAAATTAGATCTATACGATAACAGCTTCTATTACACGTTCGTTAAATTCTACAAATTCTACACTCTAGGGTCCCGGGGCGTGAAACTGATGTTGATAAAAGGCAATTTAACAAGAAAGCAGAAGCTAAACATTTAAACACTCGAGTTTAGTATGAGCTCATTTAATGCTGCAATAAGTACATTATTACCATTAAATAACATGCTCAGTTATAACTATCAGTAGGTATTATGAAAATAGGTAATAGTAGGCCTATACGATAAGTATTTGAACTCACCGGTGACTCCGCAGGACGTTCGTATGTAGACGTACGTGTATCTGATGTCGGATGCTCAGTACTGCGACAGCAGAGCTTTTATAGGAGGTGCTCATCGCTCAGAGACAATACATCATGGTATCCCGGAGACATTCATTGGCAACCGCTGGCCTTTCCTCAAGCAAAAACCTCACAGATGACATTGCAGCTTTTTGTCCTCTTCAGGGTGACACTATACGAACTGTTGTCATCGTCTGAGTTGAGCGGTTATTGTTGTTTGCGTTGTTGTAACAGTCGCATTGTCTATTGCCCTTCACTTTCGGTTATTTTAAACTACTGTTTACGATAATTACGGAAAGCGTGCTAGATACTGCACGATGTATAGGCAGAGTAGCTAGACTATTGAAAACCCTGAGAATTGACCTTAACTATTCAAATGGCGACGCTATTGAAGCACGAAAACCCCGGAATTACCACAAATTTTTACCTTACATTTGTAGGTATAGTGAGGTAAAGAAAATGTACATAAATACTCATATTATGAGAGCAATTTCCATTCAACAATAATTCATTTTTTCATTTCATTACTGAACACTAGCAACATCACTAACACATATCGTCGACTATTGTTGTATTTCTGCGCGCTAACCACCTTTTTATATTCAATGTCATCTTTTTTATAAATTTATCATCTTATTTGGCCTCATTATCTCACTTCCTAGTAGCGTCTTCGTCGGTTAATTGTTTTACAATGTACTTCACTCGCGTCTCACATATTTCTCGTACCCTTCAATCTTAATTGCTACATATTTATGCTTTCAACGTTTCTATATATATATATATATATATATATATACTATAGTAATATATAACAAATCTAAATAAATTAGCGATTAAGGGTGTTTCAAATGTTAATTAACGAGCTTCGAGATGCTCATCTCTTCATCAGCGTTTTCAGCTTGATATACACACACGCACACGCCACGCAGCACGCCACGAGGCACGGACGCACACGCACACGCACACGCCACACACACACACACACACGTACACACACACACACACACACACCACACACACACACACACACACACACCCACACACACATCACACGACGCGCACACAACACAGACACACGCACACAACACACACACACACACACACACACACCAACAACCACACACACACACAACGACACACACACACCACGACACGAAGTCATATATATATAATATATATATATATTATATATATATATATACTATATATATTAATAGTAATAATATACTTAATATATATATGTATCATTCCTTTTGCATTTCGAATACAGCACATCGGATGCTTTATTCTAGGCGGCTGTAGCACCTACTTTTGCACTGTTTTTCCGTAAGTGCGTGACCCCCATTTCGCATATTAGTTACGTCGTAACCTGGGCATCTCTAAGTGTCCATTCTAGCGCTCTATATATAATTACCCCCTCCCACTTTTCTTCTCCTCCGTCCGCAACTCTCTTCCCCCCTTCTCTCTCTCCCCCTTCGTTCGCTCTCTTCTCTCCCCGTTCGTTCGTCTGCGTTCTCTCTCTCTCTCTCTCTCTCTCTACTCTCTCTCTCTTCTCTCTCTTCTCTTTCTCTCTCTTCTCTCTCTCTCTCTCTCTCTCTCTCTCGTTTCTCTCTCTCTTCTCCTCTCTCTCTCTCTCTCTCTTCTCTCTCTCTCTCTCGCTCTTCTCTCTCTCTCTCTCTCTTTCTCTCTTCTCTCGCGCGCGCTCTCTCTCTCTCTCTCTCTCTCTCATCTCTCTCTCCTCTCTCTCTCTCTATATATATATATATATATATATACTATATACTTATATATATATATATCATCTGAGAGTGGCAGGAGCGCTTTGGGGGACGAGGCGAATTGGACCATAGTCCTGGGAACCATGAAATACCAAATAAGTTTTGCCCTGATTCGGTAATAGAATACGGACAACCAGGGCCGACATAAATACAGAAAGCCTTGAATTGCACTTTTATTTTTACTGGGAACTGTGGGAAACTGATGGTATTATTAAATATGTGTGTGTTTGTGTGCGTGGCGCCGCGCGCGCGCGCTTGGTGGTGTGTGTGAGTTGTGTGTGTGTGTGTGTGGTGTGTGTGGTGTGTGTGTTCTGTGTGTGTGTGTCGTGTGTGTGTGTGATGTGCGCGCGTGTGCATGTGTGTGCACGCGCGTGTGTGCCTAATCGAATTGACATAAGAAGACGAGCCCTCTGAATAACTACTTATAAATGCTCTACATACACCGCAACACTATAGTTAGTTTATATTTTGGTTTATTTCTATTTATTGGAATATTTTATAAAAATATATAAACGGTACTAAAATTCTACACGAGCAGAACAAACGGAGGTTGAAAGCTGTGAGCACCGGTTAGTGCTGCTACGTAGTGAGAAAATCTAGAACTACGAGTAGAAATGAAATTCGCCATATTGCTGTTGATCTTGGTTGCCTACGGTGGTTAGGGTAGTCTAAATAGTAAATATATGTGTGGACCATGTATAAATCTTAAAATAAGTCTAGCTATATTATCACCAAACAGTATTTTCTGGCTACTGAATCACCTACACTATCAAACAGCAGCAATTTTAGTTTAATGCTTATTGAATATTGTCTAACGCCGCACAAGCATTTGGAATCTACACTGCACTGTGTACTGTAGACGTACAGTACAGCCGGGGCTACAGTCACACCACACGTACGCCGCTGCATATTTAGTATTATTTACACATGATATATGTTGTAAATATATATATAGTAAATACGTCACAATCACTGGATATGAGGTTGAAATTTTAAAATGTTTATCCAAGATGCAACTTGCGAGGAATTTTTATTCCCCAATGGTGCCATGTTCGGCCACCGGCCACCCTTAGTTGTAATCGCATAACCAACACATTGTTACTGCTGCTGCACTCCTGCCAATGCTGAGTGTTGCTGAGTATGTAGTATCCCCAGGTTTGTACACATTGGGGGAAATTCACCTTCCCTGGCCAGGGTGTAACATTTGACAAGTCAAATGGATTTACTAAGCTGGCCTACTGCCTTTTTTCAGTTACATGTTTTTGAAGACTAAACCCCAACAAACTTGCTTATTATTTTATTTGCAAATTACATTGAAATATACAGAATTTATACACCAACATATAGAGGTGCGCGGTATTACCAGTATACCGCGGTACGTGACCTGTACCGGTACGTACCGCGGTACTTTGGTTGGTGTAGGCCTACCGGCTTTTTTGAGCTATTTTTATCACATCCATTTTATTTCACTTCCTCGTCATTGCATAGCTTTATAAATTCATCTCCGTCGATCGACACCATTCACGCTATATTCGTGTATCTCCAGCACCTATTCTATATGCCTAGTAGATAGTCTGCACTGTTTTATTTGTACATACTTCATTACTTCAGACTGGTTCTAGCCGTACGACACTCCTACTCTCGCTCATGTTTGCTCCAAAGGAATTACAAGATATAGCAGATTACAAGAATAACGCGACGCAGCGACTGCCAGGCGTTTAAAAAAATACATGTGTGAGCGCGCGGCAGCGGTGCCTTTGATGGGAGAACGGGGCGCGATCGATCACGAGCGTGTAGCGCGTTTCACTAAAGCCCGCCACAAGTCTTTGACCTTTGAGTTATATTCCTCTGACCTGTTCTTGAAATCGCGGTATACCGCGGTAATACCGTGATACTTTGGTAAAATACCGCAGTATACCGCGGTACAAAAAATTTCGCGGTACCCAACTCTACCAACATACCAACAAACCATAATTCTATACCCAAACCAAACTGCATGCAGCGCCCCCTTTGTACAACTTCGGATACCACTGCCACAAGGCTGGTACTATTTTTCTAGTGGGCGGGGCTCCGGGGAAATCCAGATGAGACGGGATACGAGAGAAGTGTTGCCGAAAGGAGGTGTTGATCCTAACCGCTGAGCACTGATCTTGCGCGCAGTTCCGCGGCAAGGCGCACGCGACCGC